AATTCTCTGTGTAGACAATGATATAATATGCAAGTCAGTACAATTTTTATTTCTTCCCTTCTAACCTTTGTCTTTTATTTATTTTTCTTGCCTTTTTTCACTGGCTATAACTTCCAGCTCTGTGTTGAATAACAATGATGGCAGTGGACACCCTTGACCTATTCCTGATCATAGGGAGAAAGCATTCAATGTTCCATAATTAAGCATGATGTTATAGTTTTCTGTAGATGCTTTTTATTTAATCAAGAAAAGTCTGCTCTATTTCTAGTTTGCTAAGACTTTTTACTATGAATTGTTGTTGGATTTTGTCAAATGTTTTTTAATACGTAAACCAGTATGATCATGATTTTGTTCTCCATCGGTCTGCTAATGATGGATTGCACTGACTGCTTTTTGAACCTTGAAGCAGCTTTGCATAGCAGGCATGAACTGCACTTGCTCATTCATTTATATGCTGCCAGGTGAAATTTGCTAATGTTGAGGATTTTTGTATCTACGTTCATGAGGGTTAGTGATTTGCAGTTTTCCCTTTTTTGTTCTCTCTGTCTAGTTTTGATATCAGAGGAATACCACCTATATAAAACTGAGTTAGAAAGTGTTCTTAATATTGGTTGAATCTTATTTTTTATTTTGCCATTCTTGCTAGAGTTGGCAATTTTGTCAATTCTTTTCAAAGAAGCAGCTTTTTGTTTCATGGATTTTCACTGCTGTTTTCAATTCATTGATTTATGCTCTTTTCTTTATTATTCTCTTTCTTGTGCTTGGTTTATGTTTCTTTTGCTCTACTTTTTCACTTTTCTTGAGGTGGATACACAAGTGATTGACTAGAGGCTCATCCTCTCTCCTAAAGTGAGCATTAATGCTATATATTTTCCTATCAGCACTGCTTCATGTATCCCACATATTTTGCCATGTTGTATTTTTATTTTCATTCATTTTATATATTTTTAAAATTTCCTTTGAGCTTTCCTGTTTGGTCTATGGATTGTTTGGAAGCATGTTATTTAATTTCCATGTGTTTGGAGATACTCCTCTGGTCCTTTTGTTATTAACATCTAGTGTCATTTCATTGTGGTAATAAAACATGCTCTGGATGACCTAATTCTTTTAAATGTGTTCAGGTTTGTTCCATGCCCCAGGATATGGTCTAGGTAAATATTCCATGAGTACTTGAAAACATGTATTCTGCTCTTGTTGGGTATAGTGTTCTATGTAGTTGGCCCTTCAACCATACAGGGGTGAGGGGCACTGACCACGTGTGCAGCTGAACCCTCTGCCTACATGAATTCCCAAAGGCCAGTGGACCGTTGAACAACACGGGTTTGAGCTGTATGGGATCAACTTAAAAAAAGACCATGTGTAAGTGAACCTGCCCAGTTCAAACCCGCCCTGCTCAAGGGTCAACTAGATCCTGTTGGTTAATTGTGTTGTTCAGTTCTTCTATGTTCTTTCTGAGCTGGGGACTAGTCTTTCTATCAAATAGCTGAGAGTGAAGTGTTGAAGTCTGCAACTATAATTATTGATTTGTCTATTTCTCTTTTTATCTCTATCAGTCAGGTTTCCCCCCAGTATAACACTATGCATAGTTTTACTAATGGTTGCTCTAAGTTCACTGTGTGTGTGTGTGTGCGCGCGCGCGCGCGTGCACATGGGTATGCATGTGCACGTGTATGTATGTGTGGAAACCTCACTTACATTTATGTCTTTTACTCTCCCCTTTTTAAAAAAATATAGTTGTCTGAAGTAGTTCCTCTATACACATTGAGCTTTGCACCAAAAGGAGCTATGATGTTGCTTTAAACATCAAATATGATTTTTAAAACTCATGACAAGAAGGACAGTGTATTATATTTACCCCTATTTTATATATTCCAATGTTCCTTCCTTTTTTGGAGTTCCAAGCCTTCTTTTGTTATCATTTTCTTTTCTGTTTAGAGAACTTCCTTTATTCATTCTTTAAGAACAGATTGGCTAGCAACAAATTCTCTTCGTTTCCCTTAATCTGATATCTTTATCTCCCTTTCAACCTGGAAATATATTTTCACTGGATAGAGAATTTAGAGTTGACTGTTCTTTTCTTACGGAACTTGAAAGTAATGAGAAAATCATTACTTTCCCTGAAAGTAATGCACTATTTCTCTGTCTGCTTTTGAGATTTTCCCCATGCTTTTAGCTTTCAGAGTTTAATTATGATGTGACCTGCGGAGAATTTCTTTGCATTTCTCCTGTTTGGGATTTGCTCAGCACCTTGAATTTTCAGTGCCCTGTCTTCCAACCAATCTGGGACATTTTTAGGCATTGTTTCCTTGACTACTTATTCATCCTCATTTACTTTCCTCTCCTTGTGAGACTCTAATGATACAAAGGCTCTCCGTTATTGCCCTAAGGTCCCTGAGACTGCTCATGTTCATCCAGTCTGTTCAGACTGGGGAACTTCTATCGCTCAGTCCTCAGCTCTTCAGCGTCTCTGCTCCATCCTCTCTCCTCTGCTGTCTGTGTCGTTCTCCAAATTCGCTATTTCAGTTACTGTATTTTTCAACTCTATAATGTACTTTAGGTCCATTTTTATTCTATCTCTCCTAAAATGTTCTAGTATTTTTATTTTTCAATAGTATTTGTAATTACCTGTGAGGTAGTTTTATGATGAGCACTTTAGAATCTTTGTCAGATAAACCCAACATCTGACTCTTCTCGGTGACATCATTGATTGATCTCTTTCAAGTTTAATGTGCGGTTTTTCCGTTGCACCGGGGGTGCTTGGGTATTATATTGTGAGATTGTATTTGATCTTGAGCACAAGGTCTGGGTGTGTCTGTGTTCCGTTTCCCAGTGGGCGCTGTCAACCTCTCTGGCAAAAGCGGTGCACTGCCTCACGCCCTGACAAGAAGGACGATGTATTATATTTACGCCTGTTTTATACATTCCAATGTTGCTGCAGACCATGGGGTGCAACTTCCGCTCCCTCTTGGACTTGCTGGCAGCAGGGGAAGTGGATGGGAAGCAGAGAGTCAACTAGCCCAATTTCCCATCACCTCCTCCTGCCTCTCACTCATGCTGGGTAAGGGCAGAGGCCAACCTTCCATTGGCTCCTACTAAAACTAGAGAAGGAGGGGAGGGGGTATTAACTAGCCCAGCTCATCCCACCACTGATGCCATTTGTGGCTAGAGGCTTGGCTCCCACTGGGCCCCTTTAGTATGGGGGTGAGAGGACAGGGAGAGAAGGGATCAAAGTGCTCATTAGTCCTGCTCCGCACTCTAATTTGGTTTCATGTAGCTTTGTGAGTGGGTAACTACAGCTCCTCAGTGGGCCCACTACACCAGGGGTTGGTAATGCGAGTGGTGACCAGCCCTGACTCACAGGTCCTGGTTCAGCCTCGTTGACATCAGATGGAAGTACGGTCCACACTCAACTGGGGTGAAAGGTTGAAGTATAGTAGTGACCAGCTCCACCTGACCCCACCTCCCTGGGTCTTAATGCTGCAGGTGGAGGTGAAGGCTGAGCTCACCCACGGGCCTGCTGACATTACCCTGATGGGAGTGTCTGAGCAGCACTCCCTGCAGCAGCCAGGGATGGAAGACACTCCCCTGCTCAGCCCCACCACCACCGGGCTGCTACACCTGCTACCTGCTACCTGCTCCTGCTTCCTCAAATTGGTGTGTGTGTGTGTGTGTGTGTGTGTGTTGCAGTCATCAGGCCACCGCCTTCCCTGTCCTTTGGCTGGAGGGCACATTCCTGGAGCACACTTTGCCTGTGCCTGACAGAGACGCAGGGCATGTGCCTGCCCGGGATTCACGGGCGGCGGCAAGGAGACCCAGAGCACCGGCGGGCTTCCTCCTCCGGGCAGCCTGCCTCCTCGCCCCTTTCAGCGTCTTTCTCTGCTGCTTTTGCTGTTACATCCCGGGTGTTTCACTGTTAGAAGGGAGTCCCTGGAGGATGCGGCCACTCCATCTCCGCAGAACCTGAGGTTCCTTTTTTTTTTTTGAATACGTAATTGTGATCACATCCTATATATAATTTTATATCATTTTTACTTACCACGTCATAAGTTTTTTATTTCTGTAATAAACTGTTGGTAAGAACAATTTGAAAGGCAATATAATTCCCCACTGAGCGGTCAGAACATGGTTCACATAATAATTTTCCTATTGTTGAAAATTTAGATCCCAACATTATTGCTATAATAAATAATGTACTAATGAAAATGTGTGTGCCTGTATTTACGATTTAGGATTATTGCCTTAGATGGAGTCCCAGAAGCAGACACCCACATGGCCCAGTAGGAACATGGATGAGCGCCCCCTACTGTTTGCACCCACACTGGGCCTCCAGCGCACCCTTAAACCTGAGCCGTCTGACCGAGAGCCAGGACTACCTGGGCCTTCAGTGCAGTTCTCTGATCACTGGGGAGGCTGACCAACTGCCCTCTTTTCGGTTTTTTAAAAATTCTCATCCAAGGATATTTTTCTGTTTATCTTCCAACAGAGTGGGAGGAAAAAAGAGAGAGAGGGAAACATCGATGTGAGAGAGACACATAACTGGTTGCCTCCCGCACAACCCCAACCAGGGCCAGGGACTGAACCGCAACCGAGGTACATGCCCTGGACTGGAATCGAACCCGAGATTCTTTGGTCCTCAGGCCATCGCTCTAACCACTGAGCCAAACCGGCCAGGGCTGCCCTCCTTCTGTAACTCTCCTTTCACGCCTTTTGCCTGCTCCTTTTCTGGGGCCTATGTACTCTTTGGGATTAGCCTTCCCAGAAGAAGGATCTGACTCAATATGCACAAGTAGTTTTCTTAAACCAAAAGAGGTAGAGTTCAACTTCCAAGACGAGTGAGGAGAGAAGAACGTAGTCCCTGTTCCACTTGGCGGAAGAACACCTGCCAGAGAGAAGCAGGCATCAGAGGAAGATAAAGCACACAGAACACTTCGGGTTTCTGGATACTTCTTGGTCCCGAAATGTATGCTGTTTGAGAAGCATGAACATTTCCTGAATCTTACCTGCAGCAGAACAACATTGTCACCTTCAAAAGTTACAAACACATCTGTGTCACATTTCAAGCCCGAGATTCGGTTTTCCATCATGTAACCCTATTGCAAAAAGAAAAGAAACACATTTTAAATTTGCAACCCCTGCATTACATTAGAAACAACTAACATTTTATTTGAAATTTTAAGGAACACACAAAACTGAGAAGAAAATAGCTTTATTCTCCTACCCAGAATGATCATTCTAAAAATTTTGAGCTATCACAGTAGCTTTTGGAGCGTAAATATTATTTTGGGTGTTACTGTCATCAGTAGTACAAACATTCGAAAATAGGCGTGTCATATTTTTTCAAAACATTTCAACAAATTATGCTAATTTCTTTCCAAATCGTATGAATTCTGATTAATGTCAAGGTATTAGTGCCTCCACCCTACAATAGACAGAACGGTGTTTCCCCTCCCACCCCACCCCCAGTCCTTTTAAAATGAGCAAATACACCTATGATTCTTGGAAGAAAACATAAATCCTAAATTGCCACTCTGCATCTCAATGTCATTAAATACTCTGCATCATGAATTCACACTCAAGCTTTTAGCTAGGTTTTTCCCTCTCTTTTCCCCCTGAAATCCTTACTTAAATGGCAGGAGCCTGCTGCTCCTTTTCAAAGTGTGGATCAAGCTTCTGCACAAACTGGGAGCATCAGCTTCTCGGGAGAAAGCTGCTCAGCCCCAGGCACACCCTGAAGGGAGAAAAGCCTACCTCTGTTTGGCCTCGGGCCCTCCCCTCCCGAATGCCCCGTTCCATTTCTTCCAGCTCCTTGCTCTCCTCATTACATTTCCAGAACTCCCCACTCAGAATCTCCCACAAACCCGGCCTGCGTCAGGAGCCGCGTCGGAGGGCCGCCCTGCACCGCTCCGCGCCTGCAGTGAGACCTCCGCTCCGCCTGGGGCATGACAAGCGTTCGCCCTGTGGCCCTGGCCAGGCCCTGAGCTACGGGGCTTCTTGCAGGCAGCCCGATCTCCAGGGACCCTGACGCCTTGGGGGGCCGGCCTCACGGCTGAAAATGGTCACGTGAGCCGCAGAAGCCCGCATTTCCTGCAGCGCCCTGAAGTCCTGCGAGCGTCGTCGGCGGGTCCCACCCCGGTGACGCCCCTCGTTCCCTGTCCCCCCGCGCCAGGGCAGTCCAGGTCTCCCGGGCTGTGTTCTGTAGATTACAGGAGCAAAGGCGTCTTCCCGACTCGGCAGGAACCCTGAATTACTGTCCCCCAGGTGAACGGACTGTATTTATGGGTAAATAAATCAGTAACATCTCCCCCTGGAGAAGTCCGGCCCCTGCCTCCCGGCGCACGCACAGGTCGCCCCACGGGGCACCACCGAAGCGGACTCTGCCTGATGCGACCCGCCTCGGTGTCTCCCCGCAGCACTGACTCGCTTGTCACCACCTCGCTGCCCTCTGTCCAGGGTCCCCACAAGCCAGACGGGGAGCTCGACCCTAACTCCGTGCGCTGTTCCACTTCATGGCTTCGCGGCGCAGCTGCCCTGCGAGGCCGGCGTGCCCGTCTCACGGGGAAGGGAGCTCGGCCGGGCTGTTGGCATGGTCTTCAACAGCGTCTCAGGGTCTTGTGAAAATAAGGTGAACACGACATGCAGGACCTCAGCGTCAGGAAGAGACAACACACACAGACGCACAGCTGCTCGGTGCTCCAAACCATACAGGTGAAGAAACAAAACGCAGTGTATTTGAGCATTTTGCTGTAGTTTCAGTCAGTTCGGGAGAGAGGAACAGGCTCTCTGCACCCCGACACCCACAGTTAACTTGCTGGCACTGCCCGGCCAGCCGGCCCCTCAGGACTCTGACCAGGGGGCCATAATCCACCCCCAGGGCAGCAGAACCGGGCAGGACGCTGCCAGCCTCCCAGGGAACGGGCCCAGAGTCCTGTGAACCTCACAGCAGTTCTTCGAAGACAACAGAACTGGTTTCTCCTCCAGGCGGTGAACCTCAGCTGTGAGCTCCTCTTCTAGATCCAGTGAGACCGTGTCACAGCCGAAGACTCTGGGCTCGCCAGGGCCCCGGCCGAGCTGAGGGCACGTGGCCCACAGCCCTTGCCCAGTGTGCAGGCAGCCAAATCGACCAGCAGAGACACCAGGGGCCCACCCCACACGAGGCCACGCTGTGACCAGATGTCACCCCAATCTCTGATTTCCTACAAACAGGCCACAGAGGCCCATTCTCATCAACGGCCAGGACCTTGGGATCTCAAGGTGACCTGTTTGAGACAGGCCGAGTTCCGAAAGTCCCAGGCATCGAGTTCTGTGTGAGCGTGTGCTCCAGATACCGGCTGGGGACTGGCGCTGTCTTCCCGAGGGACCTGAATTCTACGTGTGCGGCTCCCAACTCTTGGGAACAGGTGATTATAAACAGTGTGTGCACATGCATGCCTACGCCTTAAAGGTTGTTTTCTAATTAAAAATGGACTTGTAAAATTAATTACTGAAAGCAATACATAAGCATTGTGAAAACAAACAAACCAAAAAATAAAGAATAACTAAAGAAAAAAGATAAGCAATCATCCATAATCTCACGATGTGGGTGCCTGAGAGAGAAAGACCATGAGCACAAGGCTTGGGATGGGCACCGAGGACAGCGAGAAGAGGGTGGGTGCAGTGGGGAGCAGGGGGGGAGGCCCAGAGACCAGCAGAACAGATCTGGCAAAGGGAGCCATGGAGTGTTCTGGGGGAGCAGGCAGGTGACTGGGCATGGGAGGGACATGCGCTGTCGAAGCCTCACAGGGGAGTGGACTGAACTTGCACCCTGTACATCCTGGTTGGGAATCTCTCCACTGCAAGACCTGATCATTTGGCCCTCAGTGTACCTCAGGTTAAAACTAAAAATTTACTTTGGGGAGGCCTATAAAAACATTACAGCCCTGGCCAGCGAGGCTCAGTGTCAATCTGCACATTGAAAGGTCACAGGTTTCATTCCAGTTCAAGGGCATTAACCTGGGTTGCAGGTTTGATCCCCAGCCCAGGTCTGGGTGCGTGCAGGAGGCAACCAATTGATGTGTCTCTCTCACATCGATGTTTCTCTCTCTTCCCCCCCCCCCATCCCATCCACTCTTTACAGATCAATGGGAAAAAAATATCCTCAGGTGAGGATTAACAACAACAACAACAACAACAAAACATTACAGAGAGTATGTGGATGAGTGTGTGGCGTTTATGTGTTCTGGGCTGAACTGTGTCCCCCCAAATTCATACGTTGAAGTCCTAACCCTCAGGATCTCAGAATGGGACTGTATTTGGCAATCGGATTTGTAAAAAGGTGCTGGGTTAAATGAGGTCATGGGGGTGGGCTGTGATCCATGAGGACAGGTGTCCTTATAAGAGGAGACAGGGGTCCAGATACACACAGAAAAGAGGCCAAGTGAAGACCCAGGGGAGAGAATGAGATGAGCCATGAGCCAAGGAGAGAGGCCTCAGGAGGCACCGGCCTCGTCAGCACCTTGATCTGGGACTTCCAGCCTCCACGATTGTGAGAAAAATACATTTCTGTTGTTTAGCCCTGGCCAGTTTGGCTCAGCGGTTAGAGCATTAGCCTGCGGACCAGAGAGTCCCGGGTTCGGTTCCTGCTAAGGGCACGTGCCTCGGTTGCAGTTTGTGCCCGGCCCTGGTTGTGGTCGTGTGGGTGGCAGCCACTCGATGTGTCTCTCTCACGTCAGTGTTTCTCTCTCTCTCTTCCACCCTTTCTCCCTCCTCCTTGATCTGAAGATAAATGCAAAAATGTCCTTAGGTGAGAATAAAAAAAAAAAATTCTGTTGTTTAGTGCCCCCAGTGTAAGACATTTGGTTACGGCAGTCCCAGCAAATTAACTCGGCATGTGTGCGTGCGTGTGTGTGTGTGTGTGAGAGACACTCATGTCGAGTGCCATCCTGAATCTAGTATGCAACCAGAGATAATGGGCATTGCTCCTGCGGTGTGGATGAAACCTCCGGAGTCTTAGGACATCTCTTAAGGCCTCACCTCAAGGCCCTCAACAGCACCTTGGGTTTTCATTACGAACGAAATGGGAGTTCCCATCACTCTCGCTCTTTCCACAGTGAACGCTGAAGCAGAGGCGTTTGCTTACATTCAGGTTGGGGGTGGGGCAGAGATGAGAAAGAAGAGGGGAGGAAAGAAAGAGGTTTCATCCAAAAAAAAAAAAAAGTGAATAATATTTTCCATTAGCTTACTTCACTCTTAATATATTAATAAAAAACATGGAAGAGACAGCGGGAACTGTAAATTCCACGCTCCTGACGCCAGAGGAATCCTCGGAGACACAGACCAGAATCTGGTCTCGGAGAAGCGCGCTGGGCAGACAGGTCCTCGCTCTGCTCTGGGTTACGTCGGCCTCTTAGCAAGTAATTGTGAATGTCGTCAGGCTGTGTCCCGTTTCAGCAAGAGCCCACAGAACATACTCTGTGATTCAAACTCTGCGCACCAAAAGCTTAATATTTTCCTGCTGTTTATAACATCTGATTTTTTTTTTACTGTATGATTACATTTAATAAGTGCATCGAAACAAATTAGAAACAGGCTTTCTTTTCTCTTTTAAACAAATTGATGGTAAATTTTGTTTATTTGAAGAAAGAGAAGGAGAGAAAGAAGTAGAGAAAGAGGAAGAAGAGGAGGAGGAAGAAGAAGGAGGAGGAGGGCAAGGAGGAGGGCAAGGAGGAGGAGGAGGAGGAGGAGGAGAAAAGAGGAGAAGAAACAGACAAAATCAATCTTATCTGCGAGGGGAGGGTCAATTGATAATAGAGACCAACCAGGAAGGACTGTGAGTTAGTTGCATTAATGTTATGCCTGTGTGTTTCCCCCATCCTGAGTAGGGAGAGCTCGGATGTGTGACAGCCAGAGAGTGTGACACTCACTGCACCCTCTCCTGGAACAGCCGTGATCTGGGTGGGGTCTCCTGACACCCGAGTGTGAGGTGCACAAATGTTGGATGTTCTGATGGAAATGACGACACGTTGTCCCACCCGGCCCCGTGTGCTCTGAGGCGATGCTACACTCTCAGGGCTCATGCAGTGGGGACAGTGGATGGGAGAGGATTCACTCGTGG